ATTCAAGTTTATTCCCGTAAAATATTTTTGATTCTCAACTTTAAGCAAATACCCCACATAATAGTTTTAATATAATATAGAAAAAGAGTTGTTTAAGCACTGTTATTTTATAGAGCTCTACGATTAGTTACCAATATATATGAAATATCGTTTAATCCATAAAGTTCGAATTATGAAGACGTTTTTGAACAAACAAACTCCACAGCTTGAGGAAGTAACAGAAACAAAGTTAAGGTAAAATTCAAATATTTAAAACATGAGATTTTCAAGAAAAGCATACAAGCTTTGCATCAGTTTACTCTTAGCAACGCTAAATGGATTCAAACAACTCAGACGCTGTGAGAAATAACAGCGAAATGGCCAGGAACAGTTATCAACATCTCTCTCTTGAACTAAAAAATAAAACAGTGCTTTTACACAGAGTGACCCAAAAGTCCATTAAAATTTGGAAATTCAATGATTCACGGAATAATGTAGGTAGAGAGTTAAAAATTGAGACACTTGCTTGAAATGACATGGGGTTTTATTGAAAAAAAAAAAAAAAAAAAAAAAAAAAAAAAAAAAAAAAAAAAAAAAAGACCAACATATGGAGCCGGGCAGCAAAATGTCGCATGAGACGCCGCATGAGAATATTGTGTGAAATGAGCTGAAGTGAGAGAGGAAATCAGTCGGTTCATGACTTCGTCACTTTTCTATCCTTGTCTCCGGGTGTTGGTCATGGTGTGATGTGGATTTATCACATCAATCGTGATCGCGCTCTTTATCGTGCGTGGAGGAAATGCGTGGTTCTGCTATTCAAACTGTAAGTGTGACTTGTGCGAGTTGGGCTGATGTGGTACAGAATGACATCATTCCTAGTCTGGTTGATAAATACCTGTTGTAACGTATGACTAGTAGATGGCGTGCAACAGGTGGGAAATATCTTTTCCACACACAGTTTGATGAGGATCGCGTGCTGAGCCGCCACTTCCGTCAAGCTTGACCTCTCGGGTCTCCAGATCTCAATCCGTGTGATTATTGGTTGGGAGGTTACCTAAAATCGCAAGTCTACCGCGAGCGTCCGACCTCTTTAGGTATGTTAAAAGACAACAACCGGCGGCAATTTCTCACCATATGCTGTACAGTGCTGTTCACAACATTGTGCCTAGATTACTGGTATTGTTCATGAATGACTGCTGACATGTTGAACAGTTGTTATAAAGAACATAGCCTTTACTGAAAACCAATTGTTATGCTAATTATTGTTTTTATTAATATATGAAGAGCCAACTGTTGGCCGTTTTAAGCACTCTTTTGTTCTCAATAAACCTCCATGACATTTTAAGCATGTGTGCCAGTTTTTACGTCTGTACCTACATTATTCAGTGAATTATTTAATTTTCAAATTATGACAGACTTTTGGGTCACCCTGTCTGTGCATTAACTAATATACATCCTGGTAAGGGCCGATGGAAGTATCAGTAGCAGTAAAGGAAAAATGATAATTGGTTAATGAATATACATCCTACAGGATAGAAATAATTTGGCAGACAAGGTGATGGCACTTGTGCTAATAAAAAGAAGCTACTTTGCTGAAAGGCCATTAGAATCGCTCCTAAAAGGTCAAAGAAGTTTGGACTACAATAGGAATTACGCCGTCTCTGATGATGCCATTTCATACATTTGTTAGGCTTCATTGATCTGTTATAGTGATTAGCGTTTCAGGATGCCGTATCTCTGCGCTAGGGTTCGAATCCTGGAGAAGGTTAGGATATTTATAAGTGTATAGTGGCTTTGCAGCATAACGACATTTAAAATACACGGCGAGCCGAGTCCTGCCGAGTGGGTTTATTATAGAGGAAGAGGAAGTGTAGACCATTGAACTCGTCGCTCGGGGGATTCTCCCTCGAATTTTAATGGATCTGGAAAAAACCGTACTGTCACTTATAAGGTGGCCAAGGCCCATGTTAACAAAAGATGCATGAATTCGCTGCTCACCACGATAAAGTTCGCAGACTTGTTCTGATATTATCGCCAATCAACAGAGATAATTCACAACAACCTTTCTTCTATAGTAAGCTCATACAAGTGTTATAACAGCCTATTCAATTTATGCTAGTTTCACGCTTATGATATTACTTTTCTGCGAACTACTTAAACATAGGTGTTACATAAATGTTTTAAGAAATCTCTTCAACTCTGCGTTGATATTTTGCCCAGAAACAGTCAAAAAGCCCTAAAACAGTCAAACTGCCCTGAAACAATCAAACTTAGCATATAATGATTAATAATTCTAATTTTCTGCTGTGATAACTGTCATTCTTTTGCGAATACATAGTATGTAGGGTTTTCCTTATTTTACATAACAAATTTATTTTAAGTTGACACCTTTTTCCAAACTTCTCAACTTCCCCTCGCATTCTCTTGCCAGGATGTAAACTTAAAGTTAAGTGAAGTGCTTATTCAAACGGGTGAATCTCTGAGATTATTCAGAGCGTGTTTCGCTAGCCAAGCGCACGTTCCATTGTTGATTCGCTGTTACACTAGTAAGCCTCTTGGCCATATCGGATTAATCATCACGTCGGTTTAGGTTCTTGTAAGTCCACTTAGTAGGCGTAACTTAAGTGCTATCTTGCACTCTTTATTATAGGTTTGACTTAAATTATATTCTACGTTTTAGTTTCACGGCAAGTTGGACGGTGCCTTTGTAACGCACGAAGACCGTGCCTTTCTGTTAACTGTTTTGAGTTAATAAAGGGTTATTTTCACCCTTCTTCTTGAGTCTTCTTGAGTTTCTTCACGTCTGTACGAGAATTCGCCAGGTCATTTTAGTATTTAGTCTAGTTTATGTGGAACAAGAGAGTAAGACTTCATAAGTATGGGCCCTAAAAAGACATACATACAGATTTATTAATTATTTGTTTAAATAATGTGTGGTAAAATTTGAAATGAGATGAAACTATACGGTATTTTTACCGCCTTCTTAGCATGCCTTCGTGATGTAGTGGTCAACACGCTCGACGCGTATTCGAGAGGCCCGCGGTTCGAGTCCCGGCGCTCTTTTTCATGTCTTCTGCTTCGAAATGACCTAACTCTTCTACGAAACAAAAACAATTTCTACAATAGCAAATAATGCTAATATTTATTTTATGACCTGTTCTAACGTTGATATAGGAATACTGTAAACAGAATTAATATAAAACTACTAGAATGGCATGAATTTCATAATTAACACCAGAATAACCATCATAATCCTTAATTTATTACTTCTCGATAATCAAGAAATAAAGTAACAGCAGCATTTTGCAAAGTTATAAGGCATTTCTCCCGCCTTCTTAGCTTGCCTTCGTGGTGTGGTGGTCTGCACGCTCAGTGCGTAATTGAGAGCTCCGTGGTTCGATTCCCGTAGAAGACGTTGCTAATTTTTCATCTTGCCTGCTTTCCAAAAATAGCTATTGTCTCTACAGTGGCGCCCGAACTAAAAGGGTGCTGGATGATAATTCTCCACACCCAGGATGTGGCGATTGGGTCCCCTAAAACCCCAGTCGCCCTTTAAAAAGGGGGAGTATATAAGGTATTTCTCGAGCCTTCTTAGCGTGCCTTTGTGGTGTGGTGGTCTGCCCGCTCAGCGCGTAATTGAGAGGTCCGTGGTTCGATTCCCTGCAAAGGCATTGCTAATTTTTCATCTTTCCTGTTTCCCAAAAATACCTAATGTCTCTACAAAGTCTCCTTTTCTTCTGTAAGTAATTTATTTGGTATTTGATTGAATTGTAGGGACATTAGGTAATTTTTGGAAGCAGAAGAGAGGAAAAATTAGCAATCGCGTTCGCCGGGAATAGAACTACGGACCTCTGGAATACCGGCCCAGCGTGCAGAACCACTACATCACGAAAGGACGCTAGTAAGGCGGGAGAAATATCTTATATACTCCCCCTATTAAAGGGCGACTGGCGTGTTTAGGTGACCCAATCGCCACATCCTGGGTGTGGAGAGCCATCATCTACAACCCTTTTAGTTTGGGCGCCGCTGTAGAGACATTAGGTAATTTTTGGAAGCAGAAGAGAGGAAAAATTAGCAATCGCCTTCGCCGGGAATCGAACCACGGACCTCTGGAATATCGGCCCAGCGTGCAGAACCACTACACCACGAAGGTACGCTAGGAAGGCGGGAGAAATACCTTACAGAATAACCTAGGAATAAAAATTTTTGTATACTTAGTGTATTTAAAGGGATTGTTAATTGAAAGAAGGGATGTAAAATGGTCAAACATTCATGTTGTTTGCTTTTTTTAAAGATAGCTAGCTATCAAACGCAATAAAATAAGCACATCATAAAATTAAGTGCATCTAGATGTACGTACAACTTGCTTATATTTTAAAATTTAGGAATGAAATAAAAGGCAAGGTACATATTTTAAAATTATAAATTACATATATTATTTCTGGTGTAGAATTATTTCTATATGTATATATTTTCTAAAATTTTTATTTCCTTTTATTTTCTTATTTAGTTTATGCGCGTTATATGTCTTTTAAAGTTCTATCCATTTATTTAAATGTAATGCCACACAATTATGTTGCATTTAGAAAGGTTCACGTAATCCTATTTCTTTATTGTATAAGACTTTAAGGAATATCATCTGTCGTATGTGTTTCCTTCAATTCACTGGTTTGTGTTGTTTACATATCAACCCCTTCAGCAGAAAGAAAAAGATTTTCTGATCGTGGGAGCTCATTGAATCAAGAGCTCCGGAAAGCAAACAATCTTTTAAAACAGAGACTATTGTGTCTTCGTTTTAAATGGTGGAGCTGGAAACGCCGAAAACTTTCCGACCCCCGAGACCAGAGCAGACAGCTCCTCCAGCAATCTTCCTCGGAGGTTAGAGAACAGCAGCTCCGTTCGGAGAGAGATTGTAAAAGGAGAACTTTCGATTGGTTGAAAAAGCTTTCGCTGTCTCTGGATAAGACGGCTTCTTTGGGGGGATTGAAGCCCAGTTTCGTTTCACGAGCTAGTTAGCATGTCGGCGTACGTGCCCTGCATGAGCATCGATCCCCGCACGATAATGTTTGGCAACTGCGCGACTCCGAAACCTTTTCAACTTTTAAAGCCTTGCGCAGTTCCCAATCTGGGGTACTTTTCAGAGAATTCCGTGCAACGAGCATCGTTCAATTGGATCCTGGTAGGACACTCGCCAGGCCAACTTTATCCTTCCTGTCTCCCTTTTTAATAAGGTAAGTTACTAGCCTGTTCTATCTGTCATGCGTTTCGCTTTACTTCACTGTACTTTTGTAAGAGCACGATTCTCTTAGTTAAGAAATGTCGCGAAGATTTTATTGGTCTATGAGGATATGAGAGGTTTTGTGACGTAAGGAGACGCAGATTCGCTATATTAATACTCGATATCATGTGGCGCATCGCCATTGGAGGCGCTTTAGTGACAAATCAGAACGGCGCTTGCACTCTTGAGGTTGACGCCCCTTTTCGATATGGAATATGGACGTGGGATATTTCCGATTTTGCAACCCGGATGAGAAAAGTTTGAGGTAGAGAGAAACCTGCTAGGATTTTGCAGCAACTTTAAAAAACTTAAATATGGCTCGTTCGGACAGTAAATTAGACCGACTGTAATTTCTATTTATTTTTATAGATAAGATTGTTTGTGAAATTATCGTAGGTAGGAAACAACTGTTTCAAAGAATTTGATAATGGGGAGTGATAGTTATATATCCTTCATTAAATGCATTTCTTTATTACCGTTATGAAATAAAGTTAGATCCGAAAGCATTTCATGGAAAAAATTTTAATAGAAAACATCTTAGTACAATGCTTAATGTATTAAATTTTACATTACTATATTTTAAAATTTCAGAAATTAGCTCAGCAACGTTCTATGAATATGACGCCTCTTTTTGAAAAAAAGATTTAGGTAACTGAAAGGAAGATTCTTTTATTTTTAAGAACGTGGTTAGATCTATCCACGTGTTGCTTTTTAACATATTACTTTTATTCTCTGAATGCTTTCGTGAATAGACCTCATAATGGCTTGTATGATATTTGGATACAGATTAACAGAAAATTAAATTGTCTAGCTTTTGCAATGACCTAAATAACCATTATATTGGATCATTAAATGCAAAACCTTTAAATACAATTTTTTAACGCGGAGGGGAAAATGAAATAAAATTTCTTAAGCCTAATTGTGTTGCTCACGTATTCAGAAATATTCTTATTTTAGCTTTCAATATAAAGTATATATAATTGAAACAGTTACACAAGAAAGAGTTAAGACAAAGCATTGTATAATTTTTATAGATGTGCATAATACTGAAAATTTATGTGAAATTTAATTTTCTTGAGGTATTCAATAAAAATAGTGTGTTTTCCTTGAATTGCTCTAAACTAAGACAAATTATGACATTATGACACATTTTTACTTTAAATAAGAGAAAATGGCTTGAAATTAAATTACCGTTGATTTCTGGCACTTAAGGGATAATCAAATTAATGATTAATAATCGAGGCAATTTAAATTAACTTATCTAATATTTTCTGGCTTCTCATATATATGAAATTTCAAAAGAATGAGCGGATTTGACCAAGTAATAGAAACGCAGATTTCCTGCAGTTAAGAAATGTGTCATACATTGCCAGCTCAGTAAAAAAGAAAACTCATGATCGAAGTTTAGTTATGAATTAATCGAAAGGAGCAAGGTGACTCTAATTTTAGTTTCGAAGATTTTCAGATCTCATTCTATCAAAATTTTCTCTGAAAATTTATAAAAATATAGTGTAGTAAATTACTTCTTCTATTCAACTTTAACGCTGCCAGAACATTTTTGCAGCAGTGAATTCCATAATTACATTGCAGCTAGAATGAGTATGGCAGGGAATTAATAGGTGTTTCGAACTTTGTCAACTTACTCAGAGAAGAGCAATAAAAGTCTGTGAAGGTCTGTGAAACGTTTTTCCTATCATTCGATGCGCAGCACATTTTTGTAATGCAAAATATAGCAATTTTGCTGTTAAATAAAATCTGATGCTTCTTTGTGTAATGGGCTGCATTTAGATGAAAATTCTGTTGAACGTTTTTCTACATATATTATGAGTTGATCTTCAGCTAAAAATTATTCTTGTCGGTTATCCGAACTTCATGTGATTCATTGCAAAACGTAACGTCTTCAGCAGAAGCGTAAGATTACAAAAATTTAAGAAAAGATTTGGGGCATTTGTCGAAGATTTTCAGCAATGAAGCAAAATAATGAAGATTTAGGTATCAGAAAAAGAAAGAACGAAAAATAGGAATTTCTGATAATAAAATCATTTCTAAGAGAGAGATATCAAATAAAATGCGACGATTTCTAGTAACCTCGCATTTATGCCTAGGATTTCTTTTCAAATTAGGAGAAAAATCACTAGGTGGATTTTCCAATAATAAATAGGCCGCTAATAATTTTACTAATAAGTGGGACACTAATAAGCTAGAATGACTTATTACTGGTCCTTCTTCCCATATTCCATATCGAAAAGCGATAACTAAAAAAATATCTAGAAGAGTTAATGATAAAATCACAAATGGAAGAGAAATGCAAAGATGTAAAATTTAAAATTTGACAAAAATCCAACCATAGTATACTTCTAATATAACTCTATTGATTTCAAAGGCGATGAGATACAGGTTCCTCTTCTTTATGAGCAAGTATAATATCGATTTTGAGAGGTATTAAACTAACTCTTCTTTAGGAGACGGAAAAAATGCTCCTGAAAACGAGGGTCTGTATTTGATGGCCTTGAAATTCGATACAGATTCTTTCAATATCTATGCCAATTTAAGGTTGCATTTTGCCCTAATTTTAAGAATAATGTAGTATTATACGCAAGAGCTCTGCAGAATACTCAATTTTGTTTTTTTAACTTTCGAAAAGAAACGAAATGATTAGAGTTTTTAAGAAGTATAATGTAACAAAGAAGAAAGATGACAGGAAGGATCATGTAAAATTTAAAAAATAAAATATAAAACCTTCTTATAATGCTATTCTAAAAAAGATTTCAACCGAATTATATAAAAGTAATAATTATTTACATATCGTTTATTGCTAGCTCTCACTACATTTTAGATAATAATATATCTTATACTACTTCCTTGCATAATTTATCATGTTGATCTTATGCGACTATCATAAAAGTCAGCATAAAAGCTAAAATGAAAGGAGGAAATATCTTTTGCAGTGTGTTAACTTGTATAAGGGTTTAAATAACAAAAAGCAATTCTGTTTATAAAAAATGACTTGTTAAATCGGTAGATATGTTTTCCCCCAAAACTATTTACACTCAATCACATGCAATTATTATTCAAGATAGCTAAGCTTATTATTTGAAATATATCAACATTTAGACTTAGTAATTTAAAATGTAATATTTTTAAAGTGACTGCGAATATGCTCGCAGTTGATTTGTTGAGTATATTGAATTATTGTTGATTTCATCTCAGTGATTTTGCATTTGTTTAGGGATTATAATATCATTTTCACTTCTATTTCAGAACAGGGTAAATAATTTATAGCAGATTACACAGAATTAGTTCTCTTTTTTATGATTCGGGTTTTGGTTATGATAAACTAGATGAAGGATTCAGTTGTAGAACTATTAGTTTTATTTTTTAGTAAAAGGTATGAAAAATCAACGAGGATTCGAACCCCTGAGTTTCTCATTGCTAGCCGTACGTGCTACCCTGCACATCCAGACTGCTCGTCACTGGGCAGGCAAAAAAGAACCCTTATATTTTTCTCCAATTAAAGGACAACTGGAGAAGGAGGGGAGCGAACAGTAGGGCGCCATATTTAATAGAACCGCATTTAATACTCTTTTAGAATTTTTGGAGTGGGAGATGCAAGAAATCAGCTTTGCCATTGCCGGAATTCGATTTTCGGATTTCTGATTACTAGCTGCAAGTACTACCTGTTACGCCGTAAGAGCACGCAGTAGGGAACGGAGAAAATCCCTTATGCAATAACAAGACATGAAGATGAAGGAACAGTATTCCTGTATTAAACTGAAAACTAAAGACTCAAATCTCAGTGACTATTTTGCAGTTGGAATGAGTCCCGTTTATCACACAGAATTGAATTAATCATTTTCTTACTGTAAGAATGAGAGTATTCAAGTCTTAAGAATACAAGGGAAACAGATACTTAAATATTTTTATTTTCATTTTCACCAACTTTGAGATATCGTATATCCCTAGCTACTTGCCAATTTAATAAATATAATTTATCACGTAAATGGCTTTAGCTTGCCTTTAAGAATTAGTGTGCAAGTGATTATATTTCCTAATTTTAGTCTAAGTCTTACCATGTGAAAATCAAAAGACATGCCCATTAAATAACAAAAATAAGTGCATTTCTTCTTCTTAATTTACGATATACAGATTCTGATGAATTTTGTAACTGATATTATGAAGAGCACAACTCACCAGAATATGAAAGTACCATATATATATATATGCATATGTATTTGTTTTTACTTTTGAATTTGAGTTTGAAAATGAGAGTGTCGGAGAATATTTCCTCTAAATTAAGGATCTCGTTTAGTTGTATTCTTAATGAGCAACTTAAATTTAAAAGATTATCTTACTTATTTTATATTGCTTGTGAAGAATCTTTTAGCTTATATGGACTGGTGACTTTCTATTCATTGAAAATTATTAGTGACTCATGACCTGGCTCTAGTAAAATTATAATTTGGTTCTTACTTGAAAAAAAAAGACGAAAGACTCTCACTTAATTTAGTTGTTGTTAATTCATAGTAGATTGGTTTGTTCCCTTTGGCAAGTCAATGATAATAACTACTTAAAATTTTTACTTTTGTTTTTAATTTTTGCGATTCGGGATTTTTCTTTACAGATTTTTATGGTTTCTACTGAAATAGAGGTATAGAAAATACTAATTTAAAATACTAATTGAAGTACTGACTAAAAAAAAATTTGTTTCTTATAATAATTCATGATTTTAAGTGAATATCTATTCCTTAAAGATGGTACATAATTTTTTCTAGTAATAAATTATTGGCTTATATATATATATACGTATATTATATGTACATATATATATATATATATATATAGGGGGCATATATACGTATATATGCCTGATATAAAAACGCGTCAGGTTAGTTATTAGAAAAATTACTTAGCGGTTTTGGGCAATTAGTGGCGATCTGAATGGCAGGAAGAATG